GCTAACAGAGGTGATGCAAGACAGGCTCAGTATTAAGGGAAATCTAAGAGCAACAGAAAGACCATTATAACAAAATAGTGAGTTCTAGACTAAGAGTAAGAGGATGAAAATTATTTTGCTTATTCATGTCATCTTGTCTATGTCTATATTATTTTTATACCAAATATAACTCTATTTTGTGTCATAAAATTATTTTTAAAGCATAGAATTTTAATTTTACTTAATTTTAATTAATTTTTTCTATGTCTATTTACAACTTTTTTTTTTTTTTTTTTTTTTTTGCGGTACGCGGGCCTCTCACTGCTGTGGCCTCTCCCGTTGCAGAGCACAGGCTCCGGACACCCAGCCTCAGCGGCCATGGCTCACGGGCCTAGCTGCTCTGCAGCATGTGGGATCTTCCCGGGCGGGGGCACAAACCCGTGTCCCCTGCATCGGCAGGCGGACTCTCAACTACTGCGCCACGAGGGAAGCCCCTATTTACAGCTTTGACACTAGGATTCACTATTTTTTAGAAATGTCACTCCTGAGTAGGAAGGTCCTTGACAATGTTTATAACTGGGCTAAAACTCAGTCCACTGTCTCTAAGTGATATCAATTATGCCAATTCTCAGATCCCATACTATCATATGCTTCTGTGATTATTTTAGAAAAATAGTTGCCATTACTATGTCACAGAAGGACCCTCTTTTCGATTGGTTTGGGATGTCTGCCTGATTTCTGCATTTGTCTCATACACAGGAAACAGGGCAATTAACAACTGAAGTTAGCTATTAAGGCAAATTTCAAAGTAGCATTTGAAACGATGAAAGCCAAGGTAGGGATGGCAGCAGATGGAATGGGAACTGAAGGGATGGGTTTGTGATATAATTCCACTGATCAAAAAAGCAAGAAAGGGCTTCCCTGGTGGTGCAGTGGTTGAGAGTCTGCCTGCCGATGCAGGGGACACGGGTTCGTGCCACGGTCCGGGAAGATTCCACATGCCGCGGAGCGACCGGCCCGTGAGCCATGGCCGCTGAGCCTGCGCGTCCGGAGCCTGTGCTCCGCAACGGGAGAGGCCACAACAGTGAGAGGCCCGCGTACCGCAAAAAAAAAAAAAAAAAAAAAAAAAGTAAGAAAGAGTAGTCTTTTTAATTTTTTTAAATATTCAAAGCTCAACCTGAAAGTATTTTCATCATCAAATTTCCTTCTGGAATAAATGATTAAAACTTAATTAAAAATCATAGATAAGCAACAAGGATATACTGTAGAGCAGAGGGAATTATGGCAATTATCTTGTAATAACTTAGAATGGAGTATAATCTGCAAAAATACTGAATCACTTTGCTGTACACCTGAAACTAATATAATCTTGTAAATCAACTATGCTTCAATTTTTAAAAAAAAACCTTAACTTAAAATCATATAAATTCCTATCTGGAATACCTTAAAATGAAACTACCCAATTGTATTTTAAGCTTGTGCTTAAAATATGACCATAAAGAGGAAGTAATATTAACAGATAGAAAATAGCAGTAGTCTGGGCATCGGGAGACCTGGTGCTGACTCAGTATACTCTGTGACTCGAAGCAACTTTTCAAGCATTCTGCACATCAATCTCCTCATTAAAAAAAAAAAGAACAGTTGGGTCAGAGAATCTCCAAGTCTCTTTCAGCTCTAGAGCTCAATGTTTGTCAGATTGGAGAGGTTGGTGGGAAACCTTTCATTGGAGTACAAGTACTTGTGGCTGAGTGTACAGTTGAAAAATTGCCTTCTGTCAAGTCTTGGGATCTTACATAACAAGAGAGATCAAATAGAAAATGGTCCAAACTCCGGGTCAACCAGGTGGCCACTCCCGTTTCTTCAGCTAAGATCTGAGTGTAGATCCCTGAACTGAACTCCTGATATCATCCAGATGTTAGCAGGACTGGAAGGCCTTCCAAAGCACAGCACAACTTTTTGACCCACCTCCTAGAGAAATGGAAATAAAAACAAAAATAAACAAATGGGAATAAATGGAACTTAAAAGCTTTGCACAGCAAAGGAAACCATAAACACGGCCAAAAGACAACCCTAAGAATGGGAGAAAATATTTGCAAATGAAGCAACTGACAAAGGATTAATCTCCAAAATTTACAAGCGGCTCATGCAGCTCAATATCAAAAAACAAACAACCCAATCCAAAAATGGGCAAAAGACCTAAATAGACATTTCTCCAAAGAAGATATACAGATTGCCAACAAACACATGAAAGAATGCTCAACATCATTAATGATTTCTTACTAATCATTAGAGAAATGCAAATCAAAACCACGATGAGCCACATCTTCTTTATCCATTCATCTGTTGATGGACATTTAGGTTGCTTCCATGTCCTGGATAGCACAGGTAGATCAGCTCAGTGCTTTGTGACCACCTAGAAGGGTGGGACAGGGAGGGTGGGAGGGTGGGAGATGCAAGAGGGAAGAGATATGGGGATATATGTATATGTATAGCTGATTCACTTTGTGATAAAGCAGAAACTAACACACCATTGTAAAGCAATTATACTCCAATAAAGATGTAAAAAATAAGTAAATAAAATAAAAACTACAGTGAGGTATCACCTCACACCAGTCAGAATGACCATCATCAAAAAATCTACAAACAATAAATGCTGGAGAGGGTGTGGAGAAAAGGGAACCCTCTTGCACTGTTGGTGAGAATGTAAATTGATACAGCCACCCTGGAGAACAGTATGGATGTTCCTCCAGAAACTAAAAATAGAACTACCATACGACCCAGCAATCCCACTACTGGGCATATACCCTGAGAAAACCATAATTCAAAAAGAGTCATGCACCACAATGTTCAGTGCAGCTCTGTTTACAATAGCCAGGACATGGAAGCAACCTAAGTGTCCATCAACAGATGAATGGATAAAGAAGATGTGGCACATATATACAATGGAATATTACTCAGCCATAAAAAGAAACAAAATTGAGTTATTTGTAGTGAGGTGGATGGACCTAGAGTCTGTCATACAGAGTGAAATAAGTCAGATAGAGAAAAAACAAATACCATGTGCTAACACATATATAAGGAATCTAAAAAAAAAAAATGGTTCTGAAGAACGTAGGGGCAGGACAGGAATAAAGACACAGACGTAGAGAATGGACTTGAGGACACAGGGAGGAGGAAGTGTAAGATGGGACAAAGTGAGAGAGTAGCATTGACATATATACACTACCAAATATAAAATCGATAGCTAGTGGGAAGCAGCCACATAGCACAGGGAGATCAGCTCGTGCTTTGTGACCACCTAGAGGTGTGGGATAGGGAGGGTGGGAGGGAGATGCAAGAGGGAGGAGATATGGGGATATGTGTATATGTATAGCTGATTCACTTTGTTATAAAGCAGAAACTAACACACCATTGTAAAGCAATTATACTCCAGTAAAGATGTTTTTAAAAAAGCACAGCAAAAGCCAATATGTTTCCTGGTACTGACATTGTCTTGTTGGCAACTGGGCATGTATCTGGGTACATTGTAACAAAAAAAGAAAATTTCAAAACCCAGATGGGGTGATCTTGTTCTCAGAATTCTAGAGCCATTTGGCAAGCAGTAAACTATCCTGACTGGCTTTATGAAGGCTAATTATTGTTCCTTCAAAGACACTGAGTATAAAATAACTACTAATTATTTAAAAAATCACTTGATAAATATGGAAAATCATAAAGAATTACATGACCACAGTGTGTTCTGCAACCCAGAAATAGCCATTGCTGGCACTTGTGTGAATCCATTTCTCTAACACAGGCATAGTGCTGGTTTTGTATACTAGAGTACAGGCATTTCCTTAATATTATTCCATATCTTTGAAAACATTATTTTAATAAAGTCCACTATAAGAATCTATTAAAACTGACTCACCAAACCCTTATGGTTAGGTTAATTTGTCTTTAATATTATGTTGTAATAATACTGCAAAGAATATTTTTGAACCAAATTCTTCACCTGTCTCTTTCATTATGATCCTCCATTCTCCATTCTTAACTGTGCAGATAAGTCTTGTTAAATTTATGTGCAGAAAGAATGCAAAGCTTTGAATGATGTAATGTAAGCATGATACATGTGTTTGTGAGGTCATGGATGCTTCAGTTTAGGAATGACTGCAAAACTGATGATATTCTTAGCATGAGGATTGTACCTAAAAGAAATAAATGTATGAATCCCCAAATATTGGGGTAAAGATATCAAATTAGACATGTCCATTTCGAGGTCATGAATTCTCTTTACCTGTCAAGTAGCTGGATTTATTCATAATTATAGTAGAAAGCCCTCATTCAGGTGATTTTAAGAATTTTTCAGCCCAGTAAAGTGTCCAAATTGTGTTAGCAAAGACAAGAATAAACAGTTTAAACCATTAAATACTACTAGTATTATATATGTGTATTATGCGATGTCATTCTTCATGTTCAAAGAAGGAACCATGGGACATTGTTCTTGGTTGTACAGAAAGATGTACAGAAACATGGTGAAAATGAAAGAAAGGCCTGCTCTGAAACTTTCCTCCCCAGCTCTTGGGCTTAATTTTCCTGTCTTCTGACCTTGCTTCAAGCCATAATATGCCTTACCTTTGCATGGTTCTCTGTGGTTTGCAATTTTCTCATTCAGTTCTTGCAGCACCACTCAGAAAGGAGATTTATTTTTATTGAACAGACAAGGAAATGGCCAATTAGAGAATTTAAATGACTAGCTCTCCGTCACTTAGCTGGGACTTAGTCAGATTTCTTATAAAAATCGAGTCCTCCATAAGCATAGCAATAAGGAAGCGTACTGCAAAATGTAAATCATATACCTGTGTTGGGTCAAAACTTTCATTGATGCTGAGAGAATGCAACATTAACACGAGAAAATTATTTGTGTGTCTTGCTTTGGATTGTTCTTCTTCCCCATAGATAAAAGCCCGTTGTGGTAAAAGAAATTCAGGGCAGAGGCAATCTCCCCCACAAAGTGTGGTACCATTTCCCAGAGGAGCCAAATGGATGAGAAGCCTTCCACCAGGAAAGGTAAAGCCACATCTCTCTCTCTCTCTCTCTCTCTCTCTCTTACTTTAAAATTTATTTATTTTGCTGCACCGGGTCTTAGTTGCGGCACTCAAGACCTTTAGTTGCGACACGCGGACTCTAGTTCCCTGACCAGGGATCGAACCCGGGCCCCCCTGCATCGGGAGCATGGAGTCTTAACCACTGGACCACCAGGGAAGTCCCAAGTCACATCTTGTATTTGCAGGCTACCTTATGGAAGAGTGGAAGCTTTATTTCCACATCCTCGTTCTCCATTCCTTCCCCTTTGTTTTTTTATCAAGCCTCCCCGTTGTGGAGATTCTCCCAGTGTAACATTGGACCAGATCCAGCCCCTCATCCTGTTACCTGCTACTTTTTCCTTAGGGAGCCCCAATGAGGTATCTATGAGAAATTACGTCAAATGATCACTGAATCCCAGGACATAAGGAATGGAATGAGTCCAGAAAAAGTCATTTTAAACAAACCCCTAACCCATATATGAGTTCCTGCTACAATATCTTTGCTATGTAGCTGGTTATTTCCCATGAGCTTTGGAAACCTCCAGTAATAGGGAAATAATTCTTTTGCAGGCAACCAAATCTCATCCCTGAGCCTATTTGGCCATTAAAAATTATTTCTCCCATAATATATATATTTTTATATGTTTATCTGTTTCTTCACAGGTTCTCTCTTTGTTTCTCTTTAGTCCCATTTCTCCAAATGTGTAAAAAACTTTAATCCATCACTTACATGGGAACCCTTTCAATATAGGCCCATTGTTCCACTTCACAGGGACCTAAAAGAACGTGTTGCTCTTGTAACAGAATGACAGTTCCTCCAGTACCATATCACCTACAAACAGTAAAAATGGTTCCCCATATTAGTTTTTTTTAAGCTAAATATATGTGAAGGCAGAGCCTAGTGACATACAACAAAAATACTTACAAGCAAACATTACACTAAGGAGTTAGTGGTTGTGCTCATTTATATACTATATATCAGGTATTTTCAAAGAGAACCCTTGGGGCTACCCTGGTGGCGCACTGGTTGAGAATTTGCATGCTAATGCAGAGGACATGGGTTCGAGCCCTGGTCTGGGAGGATCTCACATTGCCGCAGAGCGACTAGGCCCGTGAGCCGTGGCTGCTGGGCCTGCGCGTCTGGAGCCTGTGCTCTGCAACAAGAGAGGCCGCAATAGTGAGAGGCCCACGTACCGTGATGAGGAGTGGCCCCTGCTTGCCACAACTAGAGAAAGCCCTCGCCCAGAAACGAAAACCCAACACAGCAAAAATTAATTAATTAATTAATTAATTAATAAAACTCCTACTCCCAACATCTTCAAAAAAAAGAAATAGAAAATTTTGAATGAGCATGAATTTTAAAAAATTTAAAAAATAAATAAATAAAAGAGAACCCTTGGATGTTAGATTAATTCAAAGGCAGCTCTCTAAGTATAAACTTTCAAGCTTTATGGTAGATGAATATGCAAAACAGATGGGACCACAGACTTGAGACTAGGAGACTCAGGTTCTGTGACTGGCTCTTCCCCATCTTCCTCATTCACTTTATTTTGGAACAATGTGACATAAATGCCTTCATCTAATTTTTCTTATATTTTCATCTGCTTCCCACACCTCTGAAAAAAGGCCGTATTTGTTTTACTTGATGGTAAGATCCCCGATTTATTGTCTTGAAGCCAACTAAAGAATATGACAGAGAAGGGTTGTAGTTATGATTATTTCGGTGAAAAAAGATAGTGGGACTGCATGAAATCATCTGTAGTTTTCTCAGACTTAGCAGTGGGAGAAATGGAAAGAAGGTGATCTCAGTCAGGATACTCACTGCAGACATCTGTGTTATTCTCTAGTTCCTGAATTCTGTTCATTACGCTATGGACTGGCTCTCATCATGCACTTCTCAAACTTTACCGTGATAACCCAGCGTGTGAGTCTGAGCATTGCAATCATTGCCATGGTGAATAGCACTCAGCAGCCTGGTTTATTCAATGCCACCACAGAAAGACCTCTTGCATTCACCCTCAATCACTCCAACAGATCCACCAAGGAATTTAATTCGGGAGTAAGTATAATGGAGAACAAGGCTCTTGTATTGTATCTTGATTCTGTGGCATATAGAAGCATGAATTTTCAGTGGCAAACTAAAAAGGACTAGAAGTATTTTTCTTTGAGATATTGCTTACCTCTGTGATTAAAATAGTCTCACTGAGATTATTATGATTACAGGGTTGGGGGTGGGGACTATAGGAAACAATTGTGAACACTTCCAGAAAGGAATAGATTACTGGGTATCTTCAATGCAAAACTAGGCACTAGGATGTATCTAAGTACATCCTTCTGCCTGATCCTAAGCAGGTCTCTGTACTTTTCATAGTCTTTGAGCCATTTTACAACTCAGTAAGTTCTATATAATAAATAGTAATGCAAATGATTCTTGCCCATAGCTCTGCAAATGAATTTTGTTCTGTGAAAAATCAATTGCTACTCTCCTCCACTTGCCCCTCAGTTGAATAAGCCAGTTTTGCTATATATTGAAAATCTATTTCAGCATTACTTCCCGCTTATAAATGTGTGGGTCTTTGAATTCTCCTTTGGGCCAGTTGTAACATCTTACCAATTCCTCCATTAATCAATGAGTTAAATAAAATCTTTATTATATGTTCATTTTTTATTTGTATAAGAATCATGATTATAACCCATTAAAATTTTTTCTTTAAACTAACGTTTATTTTACATTTCTAAAGTCATCCTCATGTTTTATTATTTTGTTACCTTGGAGCCAGCTTATTTATAATGACCTCTCTGTCTCCAGTCTTTCTTCCATCATTCATTCTACACATTCACACACCTGTGCTCAAGAATTCAGAATACCTTCAAGTGGCAAACTCCTCTCTTGAGATGCTGTACTTCTCCAGAACCTGGGCCCACTTCTCAGCACACTCATATCTGCTATCAATGACCCAGGGAGAGTCTTTGCTCTGAGCAAGTTAGAGTCCCGGTTAGTTTCATTGGGTATCATTCCAAATACTGCAAGTCCACTTTTGCTGTTTTTCTTCAATAAGAATGAGTTTTCCTATTTCTCTTTACACAAATCATAGGCATTCTTCAAAGAATGGTTCAAGTACTTGTTCCTTCCTGGGACCTTCCCAAAATTGTTCTTCCCTCTTCTTAAAGTCCCTATTTTACTGCCGTTCATCCTCAAACTTGAATTCTGACATGAGTCATGTATCTTGTATTATTTATAGTTATTTTAAGTGGACAAAATATTTCATGTTTTACATTTTTTGGCTCTTTATTTCAATTTATACCATGATGCCATGTACCTAGTGGTCTACCAAAATTATTTATTGGGTTACATCAGAAGAAAATGTGATCTTATTAATGTGTAATATGTGTTTTAGGAAGTCACCTCTGCTAGGGCAGACCATGATTCCTAAACTTGATTTTAGGGACTAATTTTGATAAGCACTCAGTAAAGATGTGTTTTCCTTATTTTTTGAAATGAGAGTCAGCATGTCACCTGAATTATTTACTAGAACCAAAATAGTTAAAAGAAGCTCTTTCACTATATCTCATTTACATCTTCCTATCAACTACCTATGTAATCATTTCTTTATCTCTTTTCTTCTTCACTTCTCTATTTTTTTCTCCCTCTGAGAGGAGCAAATTAGAGATATAATTGGTTGTTTGGAAAAGGTGGAATATTTGTTTGGTAAAAAAATGGAGGAAAGCCAAAATTGATATTTTATAGGAGGGTCAAAACCCCAAGCAGCTCTGGCTATAAATTAGAATTTTTATAAAAGAAATTCTTAGCAAAGAATTTTCCTTTTTTCCCCCCCAGGCCTCTGTATATGAATGGAGCCCAGAGACTCAGGGTGTCATCTTTAGCTCCATCAGCTATGGGATAATACTGACTCTCATCCCAAGTGGCTATTTAGCAGGGATATTTGGAGCAAAGCAGATGCTTGGTGCTGGTTTGCTGATCTCCTCCCTTCTCACCCTCTTTACACCACTGGCTGCTGACTTTGGAGTGATTCTGGTTATTGTGATTCGGACAGTCCAGGGCATGGCCCAGGTAGCCGGTTACTTTCTCATTCTGTGTGGGATATGGATTCCTGAATTCTACTAGAGATCAAGAGTCTTAATGATTTTCATTTCAGGGAATGGCATGGACAGGTCAGTTTACAATTTGGGCAAAATGGGCTCCCCCACTTGAACGAAGCAAGCTCACCAGCATTGCGGGGTCAGGTAAGGATATGCATATAGATCACAACTTTGTAATCTGCTTCACCCTATTACACCTTTCCTTCTATGCATAGGATGGTTTGGGGGACAAGGAGAAAAGTGCTGTAAAAATATTCAACAATGTAAGACAGTCACGTAACAAATAAGACAGATACGTCTGTGCTGTAAAGCCACTAAGACTCAGAAGCAGAAAAGACCATTGTGAGCATCGTGAGGGTAGGCAGAAAAGCATTGGAGGGAAAAGTTTAGAACTTTAAGAATTTGCAAAAATAGAAGAAAAAAAAAACAAGTAAACTGTATAAACACCATTTTTGCAAAGATATGCAAATGAGAATTAAGACTATCAGTGGTAAGGAGATAAATCAGTCTGGAAAGTAGAGTTTCAAGAGCCCACATTATTCTGAGTTCTTTACTCTTCTGAGCTAATATTCACAATATCCCTTTGAAGATAATTTTTAACTCTCATTTTCTTTTCTTTTGAATTTTATTTATTTCTTTATACAGCAAGTTCTTGTTAGTCATCCATTTTATACACATCACTGTATACATGTCAATCCCAATCTCCCAATTCATTACACCACCACCCCCCACCCCCCACTGCTTTTCCCCCTTGGTGTCCGTATGTTTGTTCTCTACATCTGTGTCTCTATTTCTGCCCTGCAAACCGGTTCATCTGTACCATTTTTCTAGGTTCCACATATATGCGTTAATATACAATATTTGTTTTTCTCTTTCTGACTTACTTCACTCTGTATGACAGTCTCAAGATTCATCCACGTCGCTACAAATGACTCAGTTTCATTCCTTTATTGGCTGAGTAATATTCCATTGTATGTATGTACCACATCTTCTTTATCCATTCCTCTGTCTATGGGCATTTAGATTGCTTCCATGACCTGGCTACTGTAAACGGCGCAGCAGTGAACATTGGGGTGCATGTGTCTTTTTGAATTATGGTTTTCTCAGGGTATATACCCAGTAGTGGGATTGCTGGGTCGTATGGTAGTTGTATGTTTAGTTTTTTAAGGAACCTCCATACTGTTCTCCATAGTGGCTGTATCAATTTACATTCCCACCAACAGTGCAAGAGGGTTCCCTTTTCTCCACACCCTCTCCAGCATTTGTTGTTTGTAGATTTTCTGATGATGCCCATTCTAACTGGTGTGATGTGATACCTCGTTGTAGTTTTGATTTGCATTTCTCTAGTAATTAGTGATGTTGAGCAGCTTTTCATGTGCTTCTTGGCCATCTGTATGTCCTCTTTGAAGAAATGTCTATTTAGGTCTTCTGCCCATTTTCTGATTGGGTTGTTTGCTTTTTTAATATTGAGCTGTGTGAGCTGTTTATATATTTTGGAGATTAATCCTTTGTCCATTGATTCGTTTGCAAATATTTTTTCCCTTTCTGAGGGTTGTCTTTTCATCTTGTTTGTAGTTTCCTTGGTGTTGCCAAAGGTTTTAAGTTTCATTAGGTCCCACTTGTTTATTTTTGTTTTTATTTCCATTACTCTAGGAGGTGGATCAAAAAAGATCTTGCTGTGATTTATGTCAAAGAGTGTTCTTCCTATGTTTTCCTCTAAGAGTTTTATAGTGTCTGGTCTTATATTTAGGTCTCTAATCCATTTTGAGTTTATTTTTGTGTATGGTGTTAGGCAGTGTTCTAATTTCATTCTTTTACATGTAGCTGTCCAGTTTTCCCAACACCACTTATTGAAGAGACTGTCTTTTCTCGACTGTATATCCTTGCCTCCTTAGTCATAGATTAGCTGACCATAGGTGCGTGGGTTTATCTCTGGGCTTTCTATCCTGTTCCATTGATCTATATTTCTGTTTTTGTGCCAGTACCATATTGTCTTGATTACTGTAGCTTTGTAGCATAGTCTGAAGACAGGGAGTCTGATTCCTCCAGTTCCATTTTTTTCCCTCAAGACTGCTTTGGCTATTTGGGGTCTTTTGTGTCTCCATACAAATTTTAAGATTTTTTGTTCCAGTTCTGTAAAAACTGCCATTGGTAATTTGATAGGGATTGCATTGAATCGGTAGATTGCTTTGGGTGGTATAGTCATTTTCACAATATTGATTCTTCCAATCCAAGAGCATGGAATATCTCTCCATTTGTTGGTATCATCTTTAATTTCTTTCATCAGTGTCTTATAGTTTTCTGCATACAGGTCTTTTGTGTCCCTAGGTAGGTTTATTCCTAGGTATTTTATTCTTTTTGTTGCAATGGTAAATGGGAGTGTCTCCTTAATTTTTCTTTCAGATGTTTCACCATTAGTGCATAGGAATGCAAGAGATTTCAGTGCATTAGTTTTGTATCCTGCAACTTTACCAAATTCATTGATTAGCTCTAGTAGTTTTCTGGTGGCATCTTTAGGATTCTCTATGCATAGTATCATGGCATCTGCAAACAGTGTCAGTTTTACTTCTTCTTTTCCAAATTGGATTCCTTTTATTTCTTTTTCTTCTCTGATTGCCGTGGCTAGGACTTCCAAAACTATGTTGAATAATAGTGGCGAGAATGGACACCTTGTCTTGTTCTTGATCTTAGATTTCAGTTTTTCACCATTGAGAATGATGTTTGCTGTGGGTTTGTCATACACGGCATTTATTATGTTGAGGTAGACTCCCTCTATGCCCACTTTCTGGGGAGTTTTTATCATAAATGGGTGTTGAATTTTGTCAAAAGCTTTTTCTGCATCTATTGAGAGGATAATATGGTTTTTCTTCTCCAATTTGTTAATATGGGGTATCATATTGATTGATTTGCATATACTGAAGAATCCTCGCATCCCTGAGATAAATCCCACTTGATCATGGTGTGTGATCCTTTTAATGTGTTGTTGGATTCTGTTTGGTAGTATTTTGTTGAGGACTTTTGCATCTATATTCATCAGTGATATTGGTCTGTAATTTTCTTTTTTTGTGGTATCTTTATCTGGTTTTGGTATCAGGGTGACAGTGGCCTCATAGAAGGAGTTTGGGAATGTTCCTTCCTCTGTAATTTTTTGGAAGAGTTTGAGAAGGATACCTGTCAGCTCTTCTCTAAATGTTTGATAGAATTCACCTGTGAAGCCATCTGGTCCTGGACTTTTGTGTGTTAGAAGATTTTTAATGACAGTTTCAGTCTCATTACTTGTGATTGATCTGTTCATATTTTCTATTTCTTCCTGGTTCAGTCTTGGAAGGTTATATCTTTCTAAGAATTTGTCTGTTTCTTCCAGGTTGTCCATTTTATTGGCATAGAGTTTCTTGTAGTAGTTTCTTTTGATGCTTTGTATTTCTGTGTTGTCTGTTGTAACTTCTCCTTTTTCATTTCTAATTTTATTGATTTGAGTCCTCTCCCTCTTTTTCTTGAGTCTGGCTAAAGGTTTATTATTTTTGTTTATCTTCTCAAAGAACCAGCCTTTAGTTTTATTTGCTATTGTTTTCTTTGTTTCTATTTCATTTATTTCTGCCCTGATCTTTATGATTTCTTTCCTTCTGCTAACTTTGAGTTTTGTTTGTTCTTCTTCTCTAGTTCCTTTAGGTGTAAGGTTAGATGGTTTATTTGAGATTTTTCTCATCTCTTGAGGTAGGATTGTATTGCTGTAAACTTCCCTCTTAGAACTGCTTTTGCTGCATCCCATAGGTTTTGGATCATCGTGTTTTCATTGTCATTTGTCTCTAGGTATTTTTTGATTTCCTCTTTGATTTCTTCAGTGATCTCTTGGTCATTTAGTCACGTATCGTTTAGCCTCCATGTGGTTGTGCTTTTTACGTTTTTTTCCCTGTAACTGATTTCTAATCTCATAGCATTGTGGTCAGAAAAGATGCTTGATATGATTTCAATTTCTTAAATTTACTGAGGCTTGATTTGTGACCCAAGATGTGATCTGTCCTTGAAAAGGTTCCATGCACACTTGAGAAGAAAGTGTAATCTACTGGTTTTGGATGAAATGTCCTATAAATATCAATTAAATCTATCTGGTCTATTGTGTCATTTAAAGCTTGTGTTTCTTTATTAATTTTCTGTCTGGATGATCTGTCCATTGGTGTAAGTGAGGTGTTAAAGTCCCCCACTATTATTGTTTACTGTCAATTTCCTCTTTTAGAGCTGTTAGCAGTTGCTTTATGTATTGAGGTGCTCCTATGTTGGGTGCATATATATTTATAATTGTTATATTTTCTTCTTGGATTGATCCCTTGATCATTATGTAGTGTCTTTGCTCGTCTCTTGTAAAATTCTTTATTTTAAAGTCGATTTTATCCGATATGAGTATTGCTACTCCAGCTTTCTTGTGATTTCCATTTGCATGGAATATCTTTTTCCATCCCCTCACTTTCAGTCTGAATGTGTCCCTAGGTCTGAAATGGGTCTCTTGTAGACATTTATATATGGGTCTTGTTTTTGTATCCATTCAGCAAGCCTGTGTCTTTTGGGTGGAGCATTTAATCCATTCACGTTTAAGGTAATTATTGATATGTATTTTCCTATGACCATTTTCTTAATTGTTTTGGGTTTGTTTTTGTAGGTCCTTTTCTTATCTTGTGTTTCCCACTTAGAGAAGTTCCTTTAGTATTTGTTGTAGGGCTGCTTTGGTGGTGCTGAATTCTCTTAGCTTTTGCTTGTCTGTAAAGCTTTTGATTTCTCCATTGAATCTGAATGAGATCCTTGCTGGGTAGAGCAATCTTGGTTGTACGTTCTTCCTTTTCATCACTTTAAGTATATCATGCCACTCCCTTCTGGCTTGTAAAGTTTCTGCTGAGAAATCAGCTGTTAACCTTGTGGGAGTTCCCTTGTATGTTATTTGTTGCTTTTCCCTTGCTGCTTTCAATAATTTTTCTTTGTCTTTAATTTTTGCCAATTTGATTACTATGTGTCTCGGCGTGTTTCTCCTTCGGTTTATCCTGTATGGGACTCTTAGCACTTCCTGGAATTGGGTGGTTATTTCCTTTCCCATGTTAGGGACGTTTTCGACCATAATCTCTTCAAATATTTTCTCGGGTCCTTTCTCTCTCTCTCTCTTCTCCTTCTGGGACCCCTATAACGCGAATGTTGTTGTGTTTAATGTTGTCCCAGAGGTCTCTTAGGCTTTCTTCATTTCTTTTCATTCTTTCTTCTTTATTCTGTTCTGCAGCAGTGAATTCAACCATTCTGCCTTCCAGGTCACTTATGCATTCTTCTGCCTCAGTTATTCTGCTATTGATTCCTTCTAGTGTATTTTTCATTTCAGTTATTGTATTGTTCATCTCTGTTTGTTTGTTCTTTAATTCTTCTCGATCTTTGTTAAACATTTCTTGCATCTTCTCGATCTTTGCCTCCATTCTTTTTCTGAGATCCTGGATTATCTTCACTATCATTATTCTGAATTCTTTTTCTGGAAGGTTGCCTATCTCCACTTCATTTAGTTGTGTTTCTGGGGTTTTATCTTGTTCCTTCATCTGGTACATAGCCCTCTTCCTTTTCATCTTGTCTGTCTTTCTGTGAATGAGGTTTTTGTTCCATGGGCTGCAGGATTGTAGTTCTTCTTGCTTCTGCTGTCTGCCCTCTGGTAGATGAAGCTATCTAAGGGCTTGTGCAAGTTTCCTGATGGGAGGGACTGGTGGTGGGCAGAGCTCAGTAAAACTTTAATCCACTTGTCTGTTGATTGGTGGGGCTGGGTTCCCTCCCTGTTGGTTGTTTGGCCTGAGGTAACCCAACACTGGAGCCTACTGGGCCTCTTTGGTGGGGCTAATGGCAGACTCTGGTAGGGCTCACGCCAAGGAGTACTTCTCAGAATTTCTCCTGCCAGTGTCCTTGTATTCATGGTGACACACAGTCACCCCCGCCTCTACAGAAGACCCTCCAACACTAGCAGGTATGTCTGCTTCAGTCTCCTATGGGGGTCACTGCTCCTTCCCCTGGTTTCTGATGAGCACACTACTTTGTGTGTGCCCTCCAAGAGTGGAGTCGCTGTTTCCCCCAGTCCTGTTGAAGTTCTGCAATCAAATCCTGCTAGCCTTCAGAGTCTGATTCTCTAGGAATTCCTCCTTCCGTTGCCAGACCTCCAGATTGGGAAGCCTGACGTGGCGCTCAGGACTTTCACTCCAGTGGGTGGACTTCTGTGTTATAAGTGTTCTCCAGTTTGTGAGTCACCCACCCAGCAGTTATGGGATTTGATTTTATTGTGATTGCACCCCTCCTACTGTCTCATTGTGGCTTCTCTTTTGTCTTTGGATGTGGGGTATCTTTTTTGGTGAGTTCCAGTGTCTTCCTGCCAATGTTTATTCAGCTGTTAGTTGTGATTCTGGTGTTCTTGTAAGAGGGAGTGAGAGCATATCCTTCTACTCTGCCATCTTGAACCAATCTTAACTCTCATTTTACAAAGGAGGGAATTAAAGTATGCAGAGATTAAGTAAATTTCCCAGAGACAAATAACTAGCTTGCAGTAGAACTGAGATTTGAGCCCCAGCAATTTGGTCCCAGAGTGTACACTCTCAATCACCATGCTACACTCCCCCACCAGAGCTTGTGATCATAAGGACTTGATAACTACATCATTGCTATTTGCCCCAACTGGTAGCACTGAGCATGTGTACTTGAAGAACAGAACTGAGGGTCATCAAGCCTCTCACTCCCCAGTCCAATGCATGGCTGCATCCTGCAGATTTTTACTCCAAAGCCACCGTCCTGTGTGGCTCCTTCCATTGCAGTTGTCAGCATCTCCTCTATCTACAAATGCTCAGTTGGTCTTCTCTCTCCTCTAGCTTTGTTTCCTTCAAACTTTTCATCAAAGCCAAGTAATCTCCCTAAAGCACAGACAGGGCATTTTTGCTAACCTGCTTAGGAATCTTCAGTGTGTGCCTTCATGATTACTGAAGACTGACCTCCTTATTGCATGGATATAAAGATGCTCTACCATTTGGTCCCAACCTGCCTTTGTGCTCAACATCCCTCTGTAAGCAATGCTCAGATTGTAGCATGTACAGTCTGCACTTAACTTCTCTCTGGCTCTATTTCTACTGGCTCATTTTCCTGGAAGGCCTTTTGCTCCCGACTTCTTTTACCAAAATTCCATCCATCCTACTATTAGCTCATGTAAAAAATTTGTGAATCTTATCATCAGTTTTAATTTTCCCATGTATACTTTCAAAGAAAATTGTAGTTTTATTATCATATTTATATTCCACATTCTTTTTTTTTTCAAATTGCATATATTGGGACCCATTGAAGGGGTCATAAAATCAATTAAGTAGGTCAAAACCAGTATTTTAAAAATGAAAGTGAATAGAATAGAATGGAAATTTTTGGAGTGAATTACACACGGTAAGACTAAGTATTGCTTCATGAAACTCTTGTTTGAAGTGTGTGTGTGTGTATTTGTGTATATATTGTGTTGCCATGAAAGATACATTTCTTATTATGGGTCTCTGAAAAATATGTTCAGACTCCAAGGTCTACATTGTATTACACTTATAATAGTGAATTTTGTTCACATTTTTCTCTGCAACTGGGCTGAAATCCCCTTGAGGTCAAGGACTTTATCTTATTAGTTTTTGTAAGAGTTTCCTTTTCTGTTGCCAACCTCATATTGCCCCTGCCAGAATGTAACTCTAATTATAAGGAAATACTGGTGGGCTATGTTTGCAGAGAGTTTCTATGACAAACAAAGGGATTTGTATTTGGTCACATTGAAGTTAAGGAGCCGTTGAAGTGTCAGGTGGCATATTGTTATTATTTATTATTTCTAATTAATTCTCATGACTTTATTGGGGAAGATCTGTGAGCTGGAAGAAAGACTCTCATCACCCAGTAATTCTAAGTCTGCCACCTCTTTGTTGGGACAAGATCCAGGGAAGTCACTCAGTCTCAACCTTTGCTATTTTCCTCAATGTTTTTTATCCCTCTTCTCTTCAGGGGCAGCGTTTGGGTCCTTCATCATCCTCTGTGTGGGGGGACTAATCTCACAGACTTTGGGCTGGCCTTTTATCTTCTACATCTTTGGTGAGTCACTTTCTCTTAACTCCTAACACCTCCACTTCCCAGGCATTTGTTTTTATGCTTACATTACCTATCGCCCACATTCTTCCCATTTGAGAGAAAATGTCCATTGTTAAATGGAAGATGACAAAGAATGTTGAGGATTGGTAGATTTCTCAGTCTAGTCTAAGAGATGACCATCTGCATGGTGCTGACTTCTGAGAAATCAGGAGTGTAGCCTCACACACCCAGCCCAGGCATCTTCTGTAGAATCTCTGCCACCACGTCTGAAACACCAGGTCTAGTTGCTCTATGTGGTTAATATGTCAGAGCTGGTGAAGCACATTTTCAATATGTCTTCATATTTGATTACAATTATTATTTCTGCCAAGATGCCCTTAACCTATTTTCTACCAGGTGAATCTTGCAAAGCTCAAATTAAATGTACACCTCCCTATAGGGACTACCAAGACTTATCCCATCAGATTAAGTCTTTCTGTCCTCTATGATGCTTACTGATAATTTCTTTTCTAGGCTGTGTTGGCATGTAATTATTTATCTCCCCTTCTCCCTCTCCACTAGATTATGAAATGACTGAGGCAAGAAATTCATTCCATATTTTTTTTATCACTTTGGTACTATCATAGTGTCTGACTTACAGCTTTATAAATAAAAGAATGGATAAATCCAGTAATTAGAGGAAATTTAAAGAACATTAGTCCACAGAGTCTTTTAACATAGAACCTCTTCAGGTGACAAATCTCAGCAATGAGACAAGTTTCTATTCTCAATATGGTTCCAGCTAGGACGGCTTTCTCATTAATGATGCTAATCCCAGGTCATTTTTGTCCACACATGTTGATCAGGTACTGTCAAGAAATATTTTTCTGGAAATCCATAATGGATGTATTGTTTGAATACAAATAACACTTCCTTTTGCAAATGTGTTGGAAAATTTTCCTGGCCACACTCATTTTATGGCAGGTTGTTTTGTATATGGATGAATACTTTTCTCTTCAATCCTGACTATTCCGATCTTCTAAAATAAGACAGTAATGTGTGTATTTAGAAGTTGTTGCTAATGACACACCACGATATATCCACTGGAGTCTGAAGAGTGACTAATCAGCTATACAGTGGTACGTTCATGCTCCCGCTCCGTCGAGGGAGCTCTGACATTGACAAATGGCACTCTACATTTAGTCAAAAGGAGATTTGTAGATGAGTTGAGATGAAGGAGTGGGAAACTTTAGGTCATGATGGTGGAACAAGCATGAGTTGATAGGCGTGTTTTGAGGTGATGCGTGCTACTTCAGAGGAAGCTCCCTTCCCCTACACACAGATCTACCTGAAAACTAATTGGATCCCAGCTTCCCAGGTAGCACTGGCTGTGTCTGCTGTCTCCTGTGGTTCATGGTGATTTATGATGACCCCATGCATCACCCATGCATAAGCGTCAGGGAAAAGGACCACATCGTGTCTTCACTGGCTCAACAGGTACAGTGCAGCCCTTCTACCTGTGGGCCATGCAGAGATCTCCAGGGTAGGGTGTGGGGCTCTCAGGAGAGGCATCCTCTGTCCTGTTCTAATACCCATACTGATTAGATATTTCCTTTCAGTCCAATTCTCCTAGACGATGTGTCCCCATAAAGGCTATGGTCAGATGCCTACCACTTTGGGCCATTTTCACGGGTTTTTTCAGCCATTTCTGGTTATGCACCATAATCATAACTTACCTACCAACGTACATCAGTTCTGTGCTCCATGTCAACGTCAGAGATGTGAGTATGCTTCCTGTACTTCTGTGAACATGATAATGGCAATAAGAAGAAACAGTTCTGTGCTGCCTACTACATTCTGACTTTACACATAACCACTCATTTAACCCTCACAATGATTGAGAGACATTGTAATGATTTCCGTTGCACAGGTGTAGAAGTGGGGACGCAGAGGGGAGATGACTTGCCCTGGATTACACAATTACTGAGGGGTAGAGCTGCTGCAGTATCTGTGTTCTTAACCACTACGCAATGCTGCCATACTAGCTGATGCTTCAATTTCCCTTAGAAATGAGTAGTGCTTTTCTCTGGAGACCAGTGTAATGCAAGTTCTGGCTCTCTTACCTGAGAAAGTGTTCTCCTCATGTGGAAAAGGATGTTAATTTCCTTAAAGCAACTCCAAGTGTCAGGAGGGTGGGCTAATGGTTGGTCTGTGTAACTGATAAACTCTGGTGCCATATGCACCTCTGTAACTACTTACTGTATACATTTCCTTCCTTCAGAGTGGTGTTCTGTCCTCCCTGCCTTTTATTGCTGCCTCAAGTTGTACGATTCTAGGAGGTCAGTTGGCAGATTTCCTCCTGTCCAGGAATCTTCTCAGATTAATCACCGTCCGAAAACTCTTTTCGTCCCTAGGTAAGGATGTGGGGACTCGGTTAACCAATCCCTTTATCCACACATGGTCAGAGAAGTTTCCTGATGGTGTGTCCCCATTGCCCAGGGCTCCTCCTTCCATCACTGTGTGCTGTCGCCCTGCCTTTTGTGGCTTCCAGTTACACAATAACTATTATTTTGCTGATACTTATTCCTGGGACCAGCAATCTGTGTGATTCAGGATTCATCATCAACACCTTAGATGTCGCTCCCCGGTAAGATTTTACCTGTTTGTTCCCCTCCCCCAGGCCCTTCTGGAGGTTTAGGCCTCAGTCTTCTTGCAACTGCTTCTTGTTGTTGACATGCACAAAATGATGGCAGAGTAATAACAAATAACTAGAAATGTCAGTATGTGGCCATGACCTAAGGTGTTTTTAGAACAACAGTGCCCAATCTTGGCCAGTAACAAGTAAATGAAACTTCCTTAGCTTCTCCACTAGAGATTAGACTGTGTTTTCTGGGAAAGGACCCACACATGTGTTTTGGAAAAGCTTCCAGAGTGTTGATGATATTAACTACCACATATGTATACACCTGTCCTGAGCCAGATCCTATTCAAAGGACTTCTCATGTATCAACACATCTGGTCTGCATAACTACATGTCCTATTGTTATTCTCACTTTATAAGGGAGACGATTGAGGCACAAGAAGTTTAAGTGACATGCCTGAGGTCACACAAAGGCAGAGCCAGGATTTGGACCCAGGCCGTCTGTCCAGTGTATGTTTGTCCAGTGTATGTTGTCTCATCCACTGCACAAACTGCCTGCCATGCTGAGATGCTGGGGTGGGAACCTGGGCTCCTGAGAGACAGAATTGTTTCCTAGTTGTTGAGTCGGTGGATAGGTGACTTCAGGTTTGGCAAACAGACATTGCCCTAACTATCTTGAAGTGAACAGAAAAAACTGCATTAGGCGAACTGACTTTGCTATTAGAGCTGAACTGCATTAAAATTGAGTTGCTGAAAAGTGATAGGCAGCTTTCTATATAAAATCATCTCCCTGCAGGTATGCAAGTTTCCTCATGGGAATCTCAAGGGGATTTGGGCTCATCGCAGGAATCATCTCTTCCACTACCACCGGATTCCTTATCAGTCAGGTTGGGCCAGTTTATTGAACATCTGCAAGTGGCAGGTATTGTTTTAGGCACTGGGGATTCACAACAGGGCCTCTGTTCTCAAGGATTGTATGGTCTGATGGGGAAAATAAGCCTGGATGCCAACACAATTATTCTATTCTTAGGGGACTCTAAATCACAGTCTGGTCGTTCACATTTCCCAGGGAA